ATATAAGGGAAGTAACTTTTCATGTCCTAAGATAACCTTTTATTAATCATGAATTTTCATAACTTCCGTCCAGGGGACGGGTACTCCAACTAGTCATTAATAGTTCTAATGATATGGTAGTCACAAACCATCAACTTTTTTCATAAAACTGTTAAAATATTTATAGTTTTCAGTAGAACCACCCATATGTGATCATCATTGAAATAACTCAAGTCATAACTCTTAAAGATAATTTTATTTCCAAAAATAAAAACCAAAAAGTAAAAAATGCGACTTTGGAAGACTGCTTAACAACCTATAAGGTTGCGCAAAGATAATTATATTTACAGAAGAATCGACTTTATATCGCAAATACTTAAACAGATAGATGATGGGTGGGTGATTGGATGGGAGGACGGACGGACGGATAGATAGATATTGTGAAAATGTTTACTGGGTGTTATTAAGTTGACCACTATTGCAACGTTTTCTAGAAGATGAGTACAACGGTCCAGATGAAGAAGAAAAGATGAAGGATGATGAGATCACGGGACCTAAACCCATGTTGCCATACTCATCAATGTTCATCCTATCATCCACAAATCCGTAAGTAAAGAGAAGGAAAATCAGTAATAAATTAAATATTTGTGGAACAAAAAAATTTTCTTTATCTTCATCGACGATTTTAAGTATCATAAGTACGGTAGTAGAAATGTACGATACAAATTAAAATCTCAAACATAGCATGTAAACAAACTTGATATGCACTTTACACACACTGTTAAGTAGTAAACAAACCAAATGCAGATTAACAAGCCACCAAAGCACTTGACAAAGTTGTAGAGTAAAAACCAAAATTTTACAAAACCACAAATTTTTCAATCTGACTGACTGACTAACATTGTTGGAAAGGCATAGCCAGGGGCGAATTTAAGCTTCAATGCTCAGTCAGCTAAAAAAATGGAGCCTAGCGGGCTCTATTCTTACCAATATCAAGGGAAAAACAAATATGGGCCCCTGCCCCTGGGCATAGCTCTCTCTTGCCTTCACCTTATGCAAATCTAAATGTGCATGATTGAATTATGCTACCTTGGCTAAAAGCATGGACTGAAAACAAGCACTATAAGTAGTTTAATTTATCTTTGCATTGTTTTCAAACTAAGTGTGATCTATTGACATCTAAGGTTGTAATTGAAACAGTGTGATTTTTTAAATATGCCTTTCAAGAAAACAAAACGAGAGAAAAGGAGAAAATCTTATATTGATAACCTTTAAAAGTCTTTGTCCCAGTGACGAGAACATTACTGCAAGAACAGAGATAAGGTTAGAAACATTAATGCTGAATATGCTAAACAAGCCTTAACTATTAATCCAGCCAAAGAAAAGGCTGCCATCCTAGCTAGATGGAAGAAAAACTGTAGCAAAGATATCAGAAAAAGCCAGGAAATGTCGAGAGATAGCACCAAGAAAAGCTAATAGAAGGATAGGCCTAGAGCCCAATTACTCTTGAGAATTAGTACCAAAAAAGCTATGAGAGAAGTGTAAAAAAATTTAAATAACAAAAATTAAGAAGTAGGGATAGAAGCACCAAAAAGTAAGGAAACAAGGTAGGAATGGGCGTGAAAACATTACAAAATTTGGTGGTTTTTGACACGGTGCAACCTCAAAGTGGGTGTGGCCATCGTTCTACCCATTCCTCCTTCGTATTTTACTTTGAACTTTGATTCAATTATTGACTTGAATTGAGTTTTATCAGAAGCTAATATTTTCTAAATACTCAACAAATTTTAACATTTCAAAAAATTAGCAGCTTTGATACTATTCATTTAGCCACCCCTTACAAGTCAGATAGCTATAATGTCTCACATAAGCAAAGTATGACTAGTGGAGTTTCCTGACTTACTTCTGACATCAAACACTCCTCTCTTATGATGTCATGCATTTCATTAAGGTCACTTAATTTGATTACATACATGTATCAGTACTTGGTTGCTGAAACAAAGTTTACAACAGAGAAATTTAGCTGTACACACCTTTCATTTACAAACAGCATATAAAGTAGGAATGGTGGAACAATAGTCACACTTGTTAATTATATAAGGATCAGTAAATTAAGTGTGTGATTGTCTTTTCATTTTAGGCTTTGTTAGGTATTTTATGGCCTGATTTAGTTAACGATATAAATTCATAACAGTTAATTATGTATGCAATATATTTTTTTCGTTTCAAGACAGAATTTTCAGGGTCACATAAGTCTACTTTAATTAATGGCAATATTCAGGTCTGTTTATGCCATTATGATTGTCCTCCAGTGGGTCAGTGGATAGTTTACGGACTTAAAACTCTGACGTCTGGAGTTCAGTTCCCTCAGGTGGACAAAGCACAGATAGTTCATTGTATTAGTTTCTAGTTTTATTACTTTGATAAGCTACATTATCAGAGTTTTTACTTCTATTACCTTGATAAGCTACATTATCATAGTTTTAGTTCTATTAGTTTGATAAGCTACATTATCATAGTTTTTAGTTAATAGAACTAAAAACTAAGATAATGTAGCTTATCAAACTAATAGAATGGCTGGAGACGGCTTGAACGGCATTCAAGCCGTCTCCAGCCATTATCAGTCTCAAAGTGGGTTCCTCGTCATCGAATTAGTTCTATTAGTTTGATAAGCTACATTATCTTAGTTTTTAGTTTAATTACCTTGATAAGCTACATTATCAGAGTTTTTAGTTCTATTACCTTGATAAGCTACATTATCATAGTTTTTAATTCTATTAGTTTGATAAGCTACATTAGCATAGTTTTTAATTCTATTAGTTTGTTAAGCTACATTATCATAGTTTTTAGTTCTATTAGTTTGATAAGCTACATTATCTTAGTTTTTAGTTCTATTACCATGGTAAGCTACATTATTATAGTTTTTAGTTCTATTAGTTTGATAAGCTACATTATCAGAGTTTTTAGTTCTATTATCTTGATAAGCTACATTATCAGAGTTTTTAGTTCTATTAGTTTGATAAGCTACATTATCATAGTCTTTAGTTCTATTAGTTTTATAAGCTACATTATCTTAGTTTTTAGTTTTATTACCATGATAAGCTACATTATCATAGTTTTTAGTTCTATTAGTTTGATAAGCTACATTATCATAGTTTTTAGTTCTATTAGTTTGATAAGCTACATTATCTTAGTTTTAGTTCTATTAATGGCTGGAGACGGCTTGAAC